AAACTTACGCTTTTACACTTTGATTCTACGTTTTACGATTTTACCCATTTTCTGCTTCTAAGTAGAATCGCACTTTTAACTGCATTGATTACAAACAATATTATTTTTATATATTACAAACAATATTTGAACTCATGTAGAAGTAGAAACAAGAGAATGTAAACTATGGTTGGTTAAAAACATTTTACCTTATGCATAGTAAAAAAAAAATTCAAATGTATCATGGTACTAAATTTTGGATTGGTACAACTTTCTAAGGAACATTTTATAGATATGACTAGGGGTGGCAGTGGGTCGGTTAAACTGAACCTTCTCCCTGTCTGCCGACCACCGACCGTGAGATAAGTCGCGGTTAGCCGACCACCGACCGACCGGTTTTCGGTTCTGGTTCCATTATATCGCAACAACCAAATTTATTAAAAAAAAGATGAAAAAAACCCAATACCCACCCCACCCACGTTACTTCTCTGCTCTCTTGTCAGATAAGATTAAAAAAAAATTTATCTTCTTCCAAACCAAAGCTCTTCTTCTCTCCTCTCCCTACCACTAAATTCTTATCTTCTTCCTCCTTCTCTCTCCTGTCTTCCTCCAAAAAGAACCACCAGAGGACAGAGACCAGCCCTTTTCTTCCTTCTCTCTCCTTCCTCCATTTCAAACCCACAAGCCACACACCCGACCACTCCTTCTCTCTCCTTCCTTCCTTCCTTGCAGATTTAGACACCACGACGAGATCAATTCCCTGAGCCGTCGGTGAGGGCCTCCGTCGCCGCCATCAGGAGGTGGACCAATCTCAACCCTTTCGTGTCCTGTTCCTCTTCCACCTGATCTTCCTCTCCTTCTTCTTGCTCTTCGTGATCGATTACCATCGCCGCCGAGGTGTCGCCGGAGTTGGTTGTGGTGGTCGGGCTGTAATTGTTGAAACCCTCCTCCTCTACATCCGCGGCGGCGGTGGCTCCGGCTAGAAGGTCGTGGAAATCGCCGCGGTGGTGGCCGGACAGGACTTCCCAGTCGACAGTGGGAGAAGTCATCCCCGGCGCAAGAGAGGCTGGGATTTGAGTACGAAGAAGAAAGAATTAGGGTTGGGGTTTTATTAAAAGGATGGTTGGTCGGTTATGTTCGATTAGTCGAGTAATCGTGGTTAATCAGCCTCGGTTACTCGGCTAGCCGAAAACCAACTTTATTCCACCGAACACCGACCGAGGAAAATAAACATCGATTTTTGGTTAGCTACTAACCGATGGTTATCGGTTGAACCGTCCGGTTAGCCGCTAACCGGAAACCGAATTGCCACCCCCAGATATGACATCCCATTAAAAAGGTCCACATGGAAACTATACTCTAACTTTTCACAGCGATAAGAACAGAGAAGTCGCTACTTTGAATCTCACCGTCATATTAGCATTGCACCTAGGGCTGCAAATGAGCCAAGATTGCTCACCAGCGGCTCGATACACTAAGGAAAAACTTGATGTAACTCGGCTTGTTTACTTACGAGTCGAATTTGAGAAAAGTCTTGCTCAGCTGGAGTGTTAGCTTGGCTTGGTGGTTCATGGAGTTTGACTCGTGAGTAGGGGTGGGCAACCGGTTCGGCAAACCCAAACCGAACCGAAAATGAATTAACCGAACCGAAACCGAAATAATGCTATTCGGTTCGGAATTCGGAAGGGAAATATGGATATTTCAGAAATCAGGGTTCTTTCAACCGAATTTTTGAATTTTCGACCGATAAACCGAAATACTATAATTGCAAGCTCCAAATGGTGGATTTTTATGTTTGTAGTTGTTTTTAGATTTAAATATTTGAAATGTTTTATAACTTATGTGTTGAAAAGTTTGATTTTATCATTGATGATGCATATAATTGCATATTTATTGTTTATATTAGGGGCGAAAAATAATTTAGAAGTGAGAAGATATAAGTAGCCTCACAAATTTGGTTTTGTGTGAAAACCGAATCGAACCAAATTATAATTGGTTTAAACCGACCGAACCAAATTATAATTCGGTTCGAATTCGATTTGAGGTTTGGAAGAATTCGGGGACCTGATTTTTATAATTTCGGTTCGATCGAAACCGAACTGACCGAATGCCCACCCTTACTCGTGAGCTAGCGAGAGCTACTTATTAGTCAATCGATCTATAACTTATGAGTTGGTTTGTTCATAATTTATAAGTTGGATATATTACAAATTTCTATTGCACAACATAGAATGGTTTAGACTTGATTATGTGACCAAATATGTCTCATTTAAAAGTGACTTATATGGTGAACTCACAAAATGAGTGCATTACTATCCATCAAAATCTAAAACTAGCATCAAGACATCAAATTTTGAACTTTAATGGGTAGAATCGTTCTAAAATAATTATATAACATATGATCATAGCTTCTCCATGCATTATCCTAAGTACTAAAGCTCCAATTTTGAATCCTAACCTTAAATCATTGAAACTAAAGTAAATCTTGAATGATTTATGTACAAATTCGTTTGTTTTCTTGTCCATCATATCACAAGTAATTTTTTACATCATTTCGACATGAATCGCCTTCTCAAAATAACGATTATGAGGAGGTGAGTAGTATCCACCAAAAAAATGAGTGCACCAAAGGCAAAACCATCCTCAAAGATAATTATTTATTAAAAATTGTTTAGATACTAAGTACTATTGAATAACATGATTGAGCTAGTTAAAAATATGAACCGAAACAGAGTTTATAAGATGAGATTAATTTATAATAAAAAAAATTAATCATGACAATAATCACATGTATCATATATGACATATAAATATTATGATATTTAATATAAATGAATTACTTTAAAGTCTATTTAGAATTTTTTCGTTTAGAGTCATAAAATGAGCTTAATTCGAGTCTAACTCCTGAGCTAACAATGAGCCAAACACGAGCAGAGTTCATGAACTTATCAATAAAGCTCCTTCCAAATTTGAGTCAAAATTTTAGTAAACGGAATGAGCTCAATCTCAACTCGCTTTCAAAGGAATTGAGTTTGAACTATGTCAAAACTCTCAATTCGTTTGCAACCAAATGGGCTATTTGTTTGAAGTCTTCTATCCCAACTGAGTGCTTTGAGATTAACTTCTACTTATATTCATGAACTTGTGGCAGATATCGTCTCCTATACATCTTCGTGAACATTCGCATTGCAAATCGCGAATGTATTCATCAAGCTGCTCCCCACAGCACACAATTTCATATCCTTTACCCAAGTTGGCGGACCTCCCTCCCAACAACTTGCTGAGTATGATAAGGATCAAGACTCATTCCTTCTCTTCTACTAGCTGCCCACAAATGTTGTTCACCTACTTTTTGCCACTTCCTTAATTACTATATTCATCATTACTCATCTTAATACGACACTCAAAGTACACTTGCTACATATTAATCCTAACTTGAAGGGCGGGTTGGGTGAGTTTGGTCTCAAATTGATACACCTCCTTACTAGCGAGTTGGTATAATTGTGATCCGTTATCCACTCATATTCTTCTGCGAGTTGGGTAGGTGGCGGATGAGTGCAGTTGGGTTGTAGGTTAACCCGCAAAAGCAATTCCCCAACTAGCCATTAAGAAAGTTTACTAACATATTTAACAAGTTCTTTGTAAATTAGTAATTCTATCGATTTAGAAACTTCTCACTTTGTCTTATGTGAATCCATGTACTATTTCTATTTGCATCAAAAATTTCAATACTCTATCAACCAATTGTGTAGAGAAATTGAGAAAACTGACACATTTTGCGACTTTGATAAAATTAATAGTTTATAATTTGCATCCAATATCTAATGGATATTACACAACACAATAACTATAATAGTAGTTCAAAAATATTCTTTATTCTCCATTTTGGTAGTTGTGTTTTGCAGTTAGGAAATATGATGAATATTCGATATCATAAGAAACAACATTATGTCATGTGAAAATGTAGTGCGAACATTCCGGTGACCCACAATCCACCCACCACTGAGGATGGCAATTTCGACCTAATCCGTTTTACCCGACCCGTTTGACCTATTTTGGGGCGGGGCGGGCATGGGTAGTCTCATCGACCTGACCTGACCCGCCCCATTCTCGACCCGTTCTTGTCTAAATTACATGTAATGTTAGTCAAATTACTTAGAATTTTCCTTTTATTGCATCATATTTTAGCTATAATAAAGTTGTAAATTAGTAAAAATCTCAATTTCTCTAATAATTTAACTACTATTGTCATAATATTGTTTGTTTTCTTAGTTTTATAATAAAAATAACGAATATTTCTAATGTTTTTCATATAAATTGCATACCCATTGGGTCGACCTGCCCCGATCCGCGACCCGTGATCAATTACCCGACCTGGACCCGACCTGCCACGGGGCGGGTCTGGGTACCAAGAAACCCGCCCCGGACCTGCCCCATTGCCATTCCTACCCACCACCCACCCACATAAATACGAGTAGAAAATTTATCAATTCGCAATCCATCCACATCAAACACCCACTGCTTACATTTCGAGTTATTTGTGGGTGAATCGATATCAACCCGCGGAATAACTACCCACGTCCCCACCCTTATTAACTTGAACTGCATCCATCTAATCACATATTCCCATGAGCCCTAAATTTATCCTATTTGCTACAGAGCGACGACTTGAACTGAGAGCAAAGAGAATCAAACCATGGATTACGAGTTCTAGAAAACTTGCAAATCTAGAAGAATTCTTTCCTTCAGATTTCTTTAGTATACACTTTCACTGTAATGTATGTATCACCAGCCATAATCAACAAAAAAAACTTCGCAGAATCTAACATTGGAAGAACTTACTTTTGTTCTTCCGATGTTCATACCGCAGCAACTCACTCAGTCACTCTGTTTTAATACACACCCTCTGTTTTTTTTTTCAGTGTGTTTGTCCCCTGTTTTTTATTACTACTACCCACCAGCTAGTTTCGCAGCATCTCCAGGCTTTCCTGCAGAATCCGCTTCAGCTCGCAGTCCGACTCTCACAATGGAAGGATGGAGTCATGGCTTCTGCCGCCATGTCTAGAAGTTGAAGCCTTTGATGACGAGTTCGACCTTTTCATCAGAACGGGGCCCTTCTGCAACCCAATAATCGACCCGCTTTTCATCAATTTCCGGAAGCTCAAACTAGTCCCTCTTTTACCACCATTCCTCGACTTCGTGCAACTCTTCAGCTCTCTGGCTACCAAATTCTTCCCTTCTCCTTCTTCTTCCACTTCTATATTCTCCACTGCCCTGTAAATCGCCATTGCTGATGACGAATCCAGAGACAGCGATCGCCTCACCCCCTGCAAATCCCCTGCCCCTTCTCTCCTTCCTCCTTCCAACACATCGCTTGGAACCCTCGAATGACTTCTTCTTAATAATACCATCAATCTCTTCGAATGGTCTGAAAGGTCCACTTCATTGTTACTACTACCACCACTACCGATTCTCGCTTCATCGTCTTCTCGTCCCTCCTCGTTTTCCTCCGTTGCAGTAATTAGAATTGTAGGCTCCAAATTCTCCACTGGAGAATCTTCTCCAGAATTGAGATTCGTCGATGACCCTGAAGCAGCAGCAGCAGCTTGAACAGCAACAGCCCCAGAATTCGCAGCGGCCGCAACGATTGGGGCGCGGCAGAGAGGGCAATTTTTGTGAGATCTAAGCCAAGTATCGATGCAAGGGATGTGGAAAGCGTGGCTACACTTGGGCAACAACCTCAAGCTTTCGTCTTCTTCAAACTCGCTCAGGCAAACAGAGCAGTCTGTTCCTTCGATGAGTTTATCCTCCTTTTTGTACCGAAACACGGCGATCGATTCGATTATCGACTGTTCCAACCCCACGGTGTGGATGTACCAAATCGGGTGATCAATCACAGGGCCGTGATCTTCCGCGATGAAATCGTCCTGCGTAGCGAAAACCGCCGACGGATCCCGCCGCCGCCAACTGAAGCTCAGATTCCTGCGCCGCCGCCTCGATCTCCAGATTCGAAGAAATAAGCAGAAGATTCCTATGAGCAGAACGAATCCGATCAGCGCCCCCGCGACGGTCATGCTCGTGACCAGCAGATTCTTCCGGTTGAAGTGCCCGCCGGTCGGAATCAGGGATGGGACGACGGGGAACTTGGTGGGCGGCGGCGGAGGAGGCTGCGGAAAGATTGGGTAGAAGTTGTCATCGTTATCGACGAAGAGGAACTTACAAGTGGAAGGGCAGACGGCGAAACAGGGGCCATGGCAGTTTCCATCTGGGTTGAAAGCGGAATCGCAATCGAGGAGGCAAGAGGAATCTGTGTTGAAGCTCGTCGCCGCCGTGGTGGTGATGGTTTCGGTGAACATCATCTTCCTGGGACGGAACTGCATCGGAGAAAAACAGAGGGATCTCAAGAATCATTCATTCACGTGAGGTTTCGGAAGAGAATCAAAACCATGGACGGGGAAAATTGGGGAAGGGGCGGAGGTTAGGTCTCGGCTTGATAGCTGGGGTTTGGACTTTGAAGTAATTGAATGGGTGGAGATTGATGGAGGAGGCGAAGACGAAGAAGGAGACTTTTCTTTTTTCTTTTTTATTTTCCCTATTTTTTTTTTTTTATGGTTTCTTTCATATTTCTGGAGGGGGAACTGGGAAGTGGAGGTTTCACTTCACTGGTTGGGAAAGCAAAGCGAAAGTCAAAGGGAAAGCCATTTTCGGGGGCCACGATCACTGCATTTTCACGCGTTTTCTACGGAATACAGGGTGACGTAGGAGGAGAGGTCTGGAAGTGGAAAGACGATTTTTTGAAAATGAGCAAAGGGTGGGCCTGGTCTGTGCTTCTGCTCATTGGGCCGGTTAAGGGAAAGCCCGCAACCCTTTTAATCCATCCGAGAGAGATAGCAGTGCTAGATCAAATGGATTAGCGAATTCAAAGAATTTGATCAAATGAATTGATGGATTGTGTTATAGATCCAAATGACATAAATGTTGGAGTTATATGTAAATTTTGAAAAGGTTTAGTTTAGACACTAAAATGTCATAATAGAAAATGTTAGGTATCCAAAATAAAAATTTTCAATGATAGTTTTCGTCAAAAAATACATTTTTAGGTACCAAATTGTAAGATATATAAAATATAGGTAACTAAATTATAATTTGTCAACAATCTATTAATCTAACAATCTAATTGCATTTGGGTTAAATGAATTGAATTGAATGGGTGGGATTAATTGGATATTTAAGTGGATGGATTGGATGCAAAATTGTCACCTCTAAATAGCTTAATAGCATGCAACTTGTTTTTACATTTTCTACCTGGCAATGGTGACAAGAGACGGGTGATAATATTGGAGAACCATATTCTAATTTGATATATTTTAGGAGTATGAAACTTATTAAACAATACTCATATAACCTTCAATATAATTTTATAATCCTCGCCAGTGTTGTCATTTCATTTTTCATCAGAGGCTATCATTTTGTCGTTTAATTAAAGTTAGTTGCTGATAAGGTTGGCACTTGGCAGGCGAAATTTATTAGTGAGTTTGAGTCTCCAAGAGTCTAAGTATGAAAATTTCTGAAACTGCTTCTATACTATATATTATGGCAATTCAAAAAAAAAATTGTTGTCACATAAGCACTTTGAGGATCCACAATTTGCCAAGTTGGACAAATTTTTTACAAACAAAAAATTAATTATTAATGTACTTATGGAGCTACCTCTCTCTTCTTTAATATTTCCATTTCTTTTATCCAATTATTACTTTTCATTTATCCATTTATTCTTTTTTGTTTTTAATAATAAGTTACATGTTGAAAAACTTAACCAAACACACATAAATAATAAATTTTTGTTAAATAAACAAAATATAAATAAGAAAACAGAGAGTGACATATATCACATTTGTTTAAATAAATTAAACAGACATACACATTTTTACTAAAATTGAATGATAAGTTACATTTTGATGAAAAAATTAAACAAACATACACATAAACAATTATATTTTAATCGATTAAACCAAAATATATATGAAAAGAGAGAAAATAAACATTGGACATTTAATTACCTTTAAAAAATAAACTATATTACTTTATATTTTGTTGCAATGAAACACCTCTTATTCGTACAATATATATCTATAAAATAAAAAAGTATTATTTAGCAAAATGTCAGACTATAATCTTATCGAATAGTTACAGTTATTTATTTAAAAAAACTTCTTATTCATTCAGATCATGTTCTACCTTAAATTCCTCAAATGAAGAGGATTCGCATGTGCAATAATTTGATAATGTGCCTAAGTTTACATTAATAATATTTGCTCTATATCATGTTGATTGAGCAAGCTCTATTGAGGTTCTAAGTCGTATGCTAAGAAATTTTCTTTCAGACTGGGAGCTATCGTCGACGATTATAAATCAAAATTTTCAAAATGACTTAAGTATGATTGTTGACGAACTTTAACTTCATACCCTAGGATGAGACACAAGATTCCTTGAAAAATAATAGATGTGAAGGTTAGAAAAATCTTTGTTGAGAATCTATGACTCGCTGTTACTGTCACTCTAGAAAATGGCCAAGTATAACCACTTCCTAAAGCGTAGTATAGCGGGTCGGGTTTTAATGTCAACCCGGGTCCTAGATGTGATGACTACTCGGTGAAGTCTTGTTATTTAGCGGTGAACTTTTAGTGAAACTCAAGCAAACAAAACACAAAGCAAGTAAACGGTTTGTTGTCAAGTCAAGAGAGGTCACCCGGATATGGTTCCCCCTAGACTGCAGTTAAGTCGGATTGTAATTACCAAGTTCAGTTTTCATGAAAGTTATACTGCGGAAGGTTCTCAATTAGCCTGAAGTCTCGACTAAAGGTCTCCAGACCCTCTCAATCTGAGTCTCTAGCGGGCGACTAACCTCCACCGGAGTAAACAGATTGAGGCCCTAAAGAACCAAACCTCCACTACCGAATTAACTTCGGTACAGAATAGCGAATTGGCTCCTCGACTAAAGTCACCAATTCGCCACCTTCGATTAAGGGTACTCTATCAACCTAGGCAGATATTATCATTCTAGGTTAAAGCAGAAACAACAGGAATTTGATAAGGATTCAAGTCATTCAATCATTCAAACCTCAATCGAATATAATCAATTCACAAACTCTGTACTTGGGTTCATACAATCAGACCTAGCATACAAATCTAGGGTTCTCCATACCCAGATGAATGGGGAAACTACTCCATAGAGAAAGAAGCAAAAGCAGATTCAGACACGGAAATCATACTGTGAAGTTGGATTCCTGCTCCTGGACGTTTAATCGCACTTCTCCAAGCTCAAACCGGGCTCCAATGGTGTTGAAGATCGATCTATGGCGCTTGGGAACTCTGGTTCGTCGCTTTCTCTCTCTAGGAATCGATTTCTCTCTCAAAAACTCGGAACCCTTTGAAAATTGGCCTTCTTCCTCTTTTATCAGCTGACCCCGCGATACCCGGTCGAAATACCCGGTCGGGTATTTTATGGTTCGACCGGGTATTGTGGAAACGCACCGTTCCACTAAAGGGGAAAATCCCCGGTCTACCACCAAAATCCCCGACCGGGGATTTTACGCCATCGCCCGGGCCCCCTTCTGTTTCTCACGGGTGCCCGAAGGAGGAAATACCCGGTCGAGGCCAGAATATACCCGGTCGGGTATTTCTTCCTTTGACCGGGTATTTTGGCCCAGCAGCATCCTTTGTCCAATCTTCGCTCCTTTCGACCCGGAACTCGTTCCTTCGCCTCGATTCCAACGCCAGGACCTGAAATATGACATAAACACACAACCTAGCGTGAAATCGGCTTAAAATACGAGATTCCTCATCACAAACGGCTTCAGAATAGGAGTGAAAACATGTATAATTATCGGTCTATCAAACTCCCCCACACTTAACGGTTTGCTTGTCCCCAAGCAAACCAAGTCAGACACTAGGTAAGCTTACATATTTCAATCAACCAACATTGGGGACAAGTCATAAAGGCACAAAACACGTGAATCGCACTGGTTTTCAAACATCAATACATGCACAACCTCAATAACAACCCGGACAACCACCACAAAGGACATTCGAGTGCAGCAAATCAAGTAAAGGAAGAGTCTCCCGTCTGTTCACTAGCCAACCTAGACTTGATTCAACCACCTACTCAAAACAGTCAACTCATGCATCCAACTCAAGACATCAGAATAGAGACCGAGCAATCTAGGTCCTCACCGGGGTACAAGAGCATATAGAAAATGAAAATGAATCACTCACTCTCGACCAGTGGGGTTAGGACAATTTTGATGCGAAAGATGCGCATGCTATTTCTCTCAATCCCTATCATCTCTTCACCATGATGGCAGCCTCTAAATGCTAGAGTTCACATATGGGGTGTCACCACTAACTAATCAGGAGGTCTTAGACACAGGTTCAAATGACTGATTAGGGTCTTGGACATGGGGAAAAGGCCTTTTAGGTGGTGGAAGTATTCATAGCAAAAGGTTCCACATTTTCCAAACACACAATCACAGACAAACAACCCGGTATTTTCTTTCTGCTATTCTGCATTACTCAATATCTTAAGAGCACAAGAGCGAAGGAGGCATAACCATCAGCATTTCCAAGCCAGACTGCTAAGAAACACTGCTTACTGGGCATTATTCAGATTTTTGGTAGTGGCTCTCTTTTGCTTTCCATTTTTCTTTGTTTTTCTTTCATTTTTCTTTTCATTTCTTAAGAGAACCACCACTTCTGCATAAATTTCAAACACCTGCCCAACTTTAAGCACTACCTCCAACACTCACATAGACTTTAGCAGAAACAGCAGAGAATATATAAAACCACTCTGTGGAACCTTCTAAAAGATGCAACAAGGGTGATTTTTTTTCATTATAGACCAAAAGAAAGGATAACACACGGCTCAAAGGGGCTGACTAGGGGATATGACACATCAGGACAGTCAGTTTTGGGCGTGGGCTAATCCTATGCCCCCATCATCTTAGCTAGTGACAACGTGAATGCTACACATCATGGAAGAAGGATCTATCGCACAAGAAAGAAACGAGCAGGCTCA